AAGTATATCATTTATATTCAGTGTTCCACTGCACATCCATCCACTCTGGACAGATACCAGGCTTCCCTGTGGGTCCCGGGATGGGAAACATATAAAGGGAGTATCCTTGGAGTTGAAGTTGGGACATAAGGTCTCTGCAAGGAAGGACCTGACATGCATCAAATTCAACAATTAAGAGAAAAGTACTTTGAGTTACATTAATAATAAGCATACCATTTCCCAAATGAAAGAGAAAGAATATTTCCACTATAGTCTTTTTAAAGTCACTTTGGTGTTGCCTGTATGTGAGAGTACAGCCCATTGCTCCTTCTTGCCAGGTGGGGGTGGCTTCTTTATCAGTGTGTGATGAGTCCACCCCCGCTCCTCAGTCTGGACAGCTGTCTCCATGGTCAGCAGGACCAGGAAGGGTCCTTCCCAAGCTGGTTCAAGCTTATTTTCTTTCCAGGTTTTGATCAGCACATAATCACCAGGCTGGTGTGGGTGAACGGGAAAGTCAAGTGGAGGAGCCTGTGCTTACAACCACTTTTTCCTAAGAGAAAGTAAGGTGGAGGACAATACAAGTTATAATTTATGAAGAAATAGTCTTTTTTTTCAAAGGTAGGCACATCAGTAACAGAGCTAAGGTAAGGGAGACCATAAAGCACTTCATAAGGGGAGAGGCCAATGTCCTTCAGAGGGGCCATCCTTATCCTGAGTAGTGCCATGGGAAGGCATTTAATCCAAGGTAATCTGGTCTCTAAACTAATTTAGTGAGCTGATTTTTAAAAGTCTGATTTAGAGAAAACAATTCACAAGTCTGTGCTGACCAATTGTTAGGGAGTCAGCCTGATTCTATTATAGTCAAGGCCTACCCATTATATCTTTTTCCCTCAATTACCTCAGAGGATCCACCCACAAAGAAATAGAGCCCAGTCTGGAAAGGAGTTTCCCTGAGGTCTGGCCTTACTTTTGTCTGGTATTCAGTAATATCTAAACATTTATGTGCAGGGCTCCTCCTTCTTGCTTCCCCTTCCAAAAAAGTGGCTGGATTTAGGGCCTCATCAGTAGTTAGAGTCAGGTCATCCTTTTCTAGCAAGATGGCCTCATACTTTAGGATCCTAGAATATGTCAGCCATCTACCCACTTTCTAGTTTAAGATTGTTCTAACTTGATGGAGAGTGCTAATAATTACATTTCCCCGAAAGGTGATTTTCCTACTTTCTTCAGTTAGAAGGGCTGTAGCTGTTACTGCCTGAATGCATTCACTCCAACCTCAGATGACAGGATCTAGGAATTTAGATAAGAAGTCCACATGTTGATGTTGACCCCCATATTTTTGTGTTAGCACCCCAAGGGCAACTCCCTTGTTTACATTTATAAAGAGGTGAAAAGCCTGTTCAAGAGAGTGCAAGGCTAGCATCAGGGCTGTGATAAGGGCTTGTTTTAGCTCATCTACTTGTTTTATCTCCTCAAGGTCCAAAAAAGGGGGTCTGGTCCCTCTTGGGTCAATTTGAGATATAAAGATTTACTTTTAAAGGCATATGCATCTATCCATAAATGGCAATATCCCACTAAGCCATGGAATGTTCTCAATTCTTCTTTTGTCCCTGGGACAGGGAGACCAGTAATTCCTTCTATTCTTTCTGGACCAATCCTTCATTTGCTCTTACCGATTAAATGTCCCAGATATTTTACTTCAGTCACAGCAAATTGTAAGTTATTCTTTGAAATACAAAGTCCCTGGCTTCCCAAGAAATTTATAAAGGTAATGGTTGTTTTAATCACCTCCCCCCGATTATCCCCTTATTATTAAATCTCTCAAGTCTCTTATATTTTCTCAGGGCCCTGGGGTGTTGTTATCTCATCGGGGATCTTGATTAGGAGACTTAATACCAGCTGCCAGGACACTTTGTCCCAGGGGATGTTCGTGATCCCAGATAGCCATTGCGCTCTACAGATCATGGCTCTTCCCTCCCCTGAGAAGAGAATTCCCCAAATAGACATTGACTCAGCCCAAGTATATATCTGTGGTCCCAGAAATTGATCAACCTGTTCTGAGACCCTGAAGGGATCCTCAAGAAGGGGTCACAACTCCTTTTTAAAATTTTGGACCTGGTAAGAGGGGCATTTACAAACCCAATTTCACCTCCTCCAAGGGGAATCTCCTGAGAGGAAAGAGGGAGTGGGGTTTTTCTTCTTCAGACTGAGGAAAAGGTAGATTCTCAATGTCTTGATGACATTGTTCTAACTACCTTTGAAGTCATGGTAGGGAGGGGTTTGGGGTAGGGAGGGAAGGGGGTAGAGGTGGAACGGTTAGGAGGGGGAGGTGGAGAGGCAGAAGCCTGGGGTGGTGGCATGGGGGCCAGCTCTGGTGCCTGAGCCAGAGGAACAGCAAGGTTATAAGTGGGGGGAGGGAGAAAAGTAAATCCCAGTTAGAAGGAGTTGGGTTTTTTTTTCTTTTTTTCCTTTTCTTTAAGTGTAAACAGGACTACAGGACTCTGTCTCCAACAGAGGGCATATTCCATCTCCTCTTGAGTGACTGGGCTCTTGTCATTTACATGCTCAATTAATAGTTGACAGACCCAGTCCTCGTCAGACCCAAATTTTGGTCAAAAAAACCAAAGACTTTGAGATCAGTTCTTGGGTCCAGATAAAACAACGTTATTTAATATTCTCTGCTTTTTTCCCCCTTTAGTATAAGGGCTATCATCCCAATATTTTAACATCTTCCCTAGGGGTCTCTCAGAAGGTATTCTATCCTGGGCCTTCATTTTCTGACCCCCCTTTTTGCTGCCTTCATTTCCCATTTCTCTCTTTGGTCAACTGTGCTCTATCAGGAGCTCAAACCCTGCCCCCCCTTTGCCTTGGAGATTTCTTGCACTCTGATTCTCTTTTGCTTTGTCCATCTCCAGCTACATCCCTCACAGGAGCTTGAGGCACCTCTTGGTAGCTGGCAGGTCAATATAAACTACTGACCTGGATTCAAGAATCTAATTCTACCTTAAATAGTATGAGGTTGCCTCAGAACTGTGGATCAGGACTCCACTTTCCCTTTGTGTCACCTGACACATCTCATTCACACATTACACAGCCTCCAGTATCCTGACCACCAAGATATCACTTGGTCACCCCATGGCATTTCTTGTCTTGTTTTCTGCACAAAACTTACATGACCACTGTGGTCCCAGTCTTCAGAGCTCTTTTACCCACATCGTCAAGAAATTCTGGAGTCCAAGTTCATTAGCAGATCCAGAAAGTTGTCGCCCTCAGCCAAACCTCAGGGCCGCCACAACCAGGCAGCAGGATGCATCTCCCCAGGGAAGGGCTGGAACCCCCCTTCCTGGGCAGAATATAAAATCCCAGACCAAGCCCCCAAATTGTTGGAATTAAAGACCCTTCCATGCTGAAAACAGACAGACAAAATCTTGACAAGGCAATCTCTTTTGATCAAAAGGGTGCAAGCATGTGCTCACTCCAGCTAAGCAAACACACAAGCACAAAACGACTGACAGTGACTCCTACTTAAATCCCTGATGCAGTTGTACCTGCCCCTCACCTAGGATTTTTCCAGGTCAAAGGTTCACAATCTTTCACAATTGGCCAAAAGACTTGGGGGATGGGTTAAGGCATACAGTTTGGCAGGCAATGGAGTCATACAGGAATCCAGAAAAAGAAGGAAGGACCCTTTAAACATGCAAGTCACCTAAGATGGTGACCAGAGAAATTTTTAAGTAATCTAAGAGGGTAACAAATACTTTGATAGAAAAGATCATTTTTCTTTCAGTTCAGAGGATACACAAATACAAAGTGGAGAGAGATGGCAAGCTTTGTTTCTGCTTTTAGTTAATTTGTGGGCCCATGCAAGTGGGAAGTCAGTGCTTTGCAGAAAATGCAGTTTCTAAGTACCTGATAAATGCACGGTAGATTAGGAGAGTGCACCGGAGTAATTTATTAACTAAAACTATTCAGGGAAGGACAATGGGTACTCAAACTGAAATTACAGCAATGAATAGGAATTTTCCAGATTTATCAGAGTGTGGCAGGTACTGGAGAGTGTCTGTGCACTGCAGGAAGAGGTTATGAGACTCCCAAAAAGAAATGAGGATGCAGACAACAACTGGGAAACACCGAAGAATAAGGTAATTCAGAGACCACCAACAACATGTGACTACTAATCCTCACAAATATTTATTGAATTCATTTTGTTGATATACTTAATCTACCATGGAACCTGTCATACTTTGGTAAGTACTTCAATATTTTTAAACAAGAAGTAAAAACACAGACTATGCTTTTTATAATCTATGAGAAGGAGATTGAGACTCTCAATTTCATAAAAGAGTAATTATCATCATGTTTGATTTTTTTCAGTATTGGGAAAACTTATCCATACACATTGCACTCTAGGCAAGAAAAGAAGAATCAACCAGACATTTTAATCACGCATTATGAAATTCACTTAAAGATAGAAACCTCAGATAGTTTCTGGATTGGTGGCAGAGTTGGACTGAAAACCAAGATTCTGCTTCTTAAATTATTCATTTAACATATATTCAAGCATTCTTTAAGGGCATCTTCTATGGCATGTTTTGTAATATAAGAATAATTTTTTCATCTCAGCAGATTTTCCTAGTCTTCCAATAAGGAATATTCCTTCCTTCCATAAAAGAATTGATGTTTCTGCTTCTCATTGAAATTGTGAAAAGTTCAATTACAATAACTGTTGTGACTGAGAAACTACAGAGTAAAGGAAGAGAGCACAGGAAGGGCTTCCGACTCTCATGTAAGGGTCAAGGATGTGAAAGCAACAATTCTAACTAAAACTTGGATAAGGAGTAGCCAGTCTACATGTGGGTAAAGGGATCGTGGTATGTTTGTAAGGATGGGTGCAAAAGAAAGTGGTTCACATGAGCAACAAAGTCTGGGATCAAATCACAGGTGAAAGACAAAACAATGAGTACAAAGGGACCCCCTTCTCATGTGATTCCTCCTATTGTGTCATCTTTCCTAGGACACTCATCATGTCCTCAAATACTGTGCTTCAAAAAGTACTGCTGATATTGACATCACTTTTAGCTATTACCTGGATAATTTTTATACTTTCTCAAAACTCCTCAAAGGTAGGAACACTTTTCTCCATTTTGACTTGAAGACTCCACTCATGGGAAATGTTTTGCTAAAACCCATTAACAATCCTGCTCCTCCTCTCCCACTACAGCTCTGCTTTCTTCTCCCTGCTATACTTCATGTCACCGGGTTTGTGGAAATGACTATCTCTACTTCTTCCTTTCCCCTTCATGCTCAATCCATTCTAATCAGACTCTTATGTCCCAAATGACCCAAAATGTCCTTTGAGAAGGCTACCAACTTCAAAGTCACTAAATAAGGACTTGTCATTAAAACCAGGTGAATATATTCCTTGACTATCTGGGTCCAGTTTCCATAGTCTCTTAATTTTGTCTATGATTCTTTTTCCATGCATAAGTTATTTTTAGAAAGTCAGTTTCATTATGTTTATTAGATATTAATTAATAATTAGAAAATGTAAATGGCTTGAGGTATTTAACTAATTTAACTTTTCCCTATGCTTGTCCAATTATTCTAAACCGTTTAATAAAAATTCCATCCTATACTTCACTGATTTTTTTTCTTTTTTTTTTTTACCTGTTATACTGGAAATTTAACTCCAGGCTTTGTATTTGCTAAGTCAGATGCTCTACCCGTTGTATTACGCATCCAGCCCTTTTTGCTTTAGTTATTTCTCCTTTAGAGTTTCACATTTTGTTTCTGGGTCATCTTGGATCCTCCTACATATTCCTCTGTTGTAGAAAGGATTATAGGTAAGTATCCACATGTTCACCTTATTGATTGAGATATGGCCTTTCTAACTTTTTGCCTAGGCTAGCCATGTCATCTGACTCAACATAGCTTTTTATGTTTTGGTTAGTTTAAAAGTTTCCATATTTTCCAAAATATTAAAACACTGGAAACCACTGATCTATAAACATGGTTCTCAAACTTTTCTGATGGCCTATGAGTATTTGAAGGAACATGTACTCCAGGATGACACATTGTGACCATGCTTCAGTCCATGTGGCCTAAGGCCAGGGAATCCATATTTTGAGTAAAACCTGGAAGACGCTTCTGGCTATCAGGAAGTTTTGGAAACCATTGAAATTGAGGATCTAAAAAACACTGTCCAGTGCTAAAAGTGTCAGTGACATCTAACTCTGTAGTGACTTCTCAGTGATAACTTAAGAGAGGTTTAGGTGGTTTGTGGGAGGAGGTTGTCAACAATCCAGGAAGAAAAGAAAGTGTTAGGAAAGACCAAGTGCCAAAACAAATGATCCAATTAGTTTACCAAATAAAAAGTTAGTCATACTTCCTTCTTTTACCTCCCTCTCCTATTACTGAGCTCCCCTTAGAATGACCTGTTTTTTATAATATTGCTTGCATTTGTATTGGGCCTATGTTCCATGTTTGACAGAAAATATGCGACCTTTGGCTTTCTGAACCAGCTATCTTCACTAAACATTATGTTCCCTCCAGTTCCATCCATTTACCTGCAAACAACAAAATTTCATTTAAAGGCTGAATACAGTGCCATTGTATATAAATACCACATCTTCTTAATCCATTCATCAGTTGTAGAATCTCTTGGCTGTTTTCATAGCTTAGATATTATTACTAATGCTGAAATAAACATGGGTATACAGGTGTCTTCATAGTAATATGACTTACATTCCTTCAGTTATAACCCTAGGAGTGGTATTGCTAATTACCATAAGAAGGAGACTAAGGTAGAAAGAGGAAAAATAGAGTGGATGAGTCACTGTGGGTTATAACACATATGTACATGGATCTGTCACAATGAAACACCCTTATAGCTATGTTAAACAAAAGAAATGTCTTTTTTTCAAAAACAGAGAATAGGAAGGCAAAACAGGTCCTATCTGTTGGTCACAGTGGGAGGGATAGGATATAAGGAAAGGGTGTACAAGGCTGAATATGATGAAAATATTATGTACTAACATATGTACATGGGAAAATGAGACCAGTTGAAACAATTCCAGGAATGGAAGGAAGATAAAGGACAATGACAGAGTGGATGAATTTGACTATGATATATTTTAAGAACTTTGTAAATGTCACAATGATGAAAACAATGATAAAAAAATTTTAATTAAAAAATAAAATTAACAAATCTTTACATTTAATGAATAAGGTAGTCCTAGCAAACCAACTACATTGGTATTTAGATGGTACAATATTTAGATGATACAGGAGAGAATGGAAGAACTAGGGAATTTAAAAAGTTAAAATCATAAAGCCATGCCAAGACTACACTTTACCCCAGAATGAGGAGAAGTCATTGAAGGAGTTTAAGGAAGCAGGAGACATGCACAGAGTTTCACTTTAAGAGGCTTGACTTAGCTACAGTGGAGAAAAGTAAACAGAGAGAAAGCACAACTGTCTTCATGACATCTGAATAGGTCACACTTGAAGTGACCATTACAATGCAGGGAAGACAGGGGGAAGGAATAGACTATTAAACAAGGTGAAAGAGACATACAGGTACAACTAGAAAAAGTTACTTAGTGGGAAGAAGGTATATATGAAAGGAAAAGCAAATTCTCCATCTTCAACATAAAACCCATCTGTATTTGCTCAGCTTTATTCTTAGGTTGAATATATTTACAACTCAGGCCATCTCTACAATATTGAGGGAAAAAAATGTCTAAATTTTATTCAACATTGTCAGAGTTTAAATGATATAGATGATGGCATGAAAATAAATATTCAAATCCATCATACATAAAAATGACTGAGATCAGAGTCATTTCATAGGATGACACATTTCTTTTCATTACAGCTTTGGTCTGCTCTAAACATATCCATCTCCTTCCATCACATGAACACTTCCACAAAATCTTCCTGCCCTGAAACACCAAGGACACCAGTCAATTCACCAACAGAGTCTCAGCTGAGAGTCAGGGAGATCCTGGAGAAACTAGACCAACTAATCCCACCCAGACCCTTTATCCATGTGAACACCACCACAAGCGCCAAACACAGCACAGCCACCATCCTCAACCCACAAGATACATACTGCAGAGGGGATCAGCTAGACATCCTGCTGGAAGCAAGGGACCACCTGGGACACAGGAAGGAATATGGCGGGGACTTCCTGAGGGCCAGGACGTCCTCCCCAGCCCTGAACGCAGGTGCTTCAGGAAAGGTGACAGACTTCAACAATGGCACCTACCTTGTCAGCTTCACACTGTTCTGGGAGGGCCAGGTCTCACTTTCTGTCCTACTCATCCACCCCAGTGAAGGGGTATCTGCTCTCTGGAGGGCAAGGAACCAAGGCTATGACAAGGTGATCTTCACAGGCCAGTTTTCCAGTGGTGCCTCCCAGGTCTACAGTGAGTGTGGCCTGGCTTTAAATTCAACTGCTGAGCTGTGCCAGTATCTTGATGGCCAAGATCAAGAAGCTTTCTACTGCGTGAGACCTCCACATGTTCCCTGTGCTGCACTCACCCACATGCAGTCCAAGAACAAGAAAGTTTCTTATCTTACCAAACAGGAAAGGAGCCTCTTTGAAAGGTAAATGATTATTTCTGGATTCTATATTGGAAAATATAATGCTTTTGCCTATATGTCATCTCAAATGAAAATTCTTAAGAAGACCTATTTGGGAAAGGATCTAAAAATTTATTTGGGATCAGTTCTCACTCCCAGTAGTACCCAAAGTTTTGGATATTTAATCCTCATCAATGAACTAAAAAATATAGGCAGATTAAAAGCTAAAAGAACATGAGAAATGTGTGTGTGCTCTACTAAGTTCTATATGCATCTCAATAAATTGACTTGCATAACTTCTGGGTATCGATATCCTATGAAATGAGAGGCAAAGTAATGGAAATTCACTAAGTGGCCTTAAATCATAGACATGGTAATAGGCTTATCACTAAGAAATAACAGAAGCAATGCATAATTGTGCCTTTGAGTCCTTCATGGTTTGCAGCCACCTACAGATTAATTTCTACATTTTTCTCTTTAAGGTCTAATGTGGGTGTGGAGATTATGGCAAAATTCAAAATGATTAGTGTTTCCAAATGCAGCGGTGAGTGCTTCTGCTTATCGGGTGATATTTACTATTAACTAATTAAAGTATCTCCTCTTCCTGCTGGACTTCTCTCTGACTCAGTCCTGTCAGCTTCCTGCTCATCTACTTCACTGAGGCTGGCCAAGGCACCAGGTCCATCCGTGAGTGAATGTTTGAATCACTAGGATATCACTTACCTGCCTTAGGAACATATCTCTCATCACTAATCTACTCATCGTGTAATAGGTTACCTGCTCATCGTGCGCAATAATATTGAAACATTAAAACTTATTCCCAATCTTTACACAGTACTTCATCTCTCCTCCCACCCTCTCCACACCACGCTCATCACCATCTTCCACATCACCAGTTCCCAAATAATCACGGTCTAGACGTTTCCATCTTGTCATCTAGGAGTCAGCTCACTGCTATAATTCCCTCTTTGTCTTTATCACTTTTCCAACCATTTGTTTTCAAAATAGAACCTCCACATTTGTATTTACTGATTTCTCATTAATTATTTGATTCTAAATGTTTTTAAAAACCAGCTGATAGTGATAAAAATAATGTTGATAAAGAGGCATATCTATGTGGTGGACTATCAGTGGAAATCCATGGGAGGAGGAGATAAAAAGGAAGGATACTGATGGGGTAAACAGGATCAAAGAATACTATATATATGTAGTGTATAAATATATATATGAAAAAATATATATATATGAAAATAGCAGAAGGAAACCCATGAAACAATGTTTGTAAATGGGGGGAGGACTAGGATAGAAATATAATGGAGGAGGAGAGCATGCTCAACGTGTACTGCAGGCATGTGTGGAATTATCACAATGAAGTATCTTCATATCATTATGTTATGGTAATACAAAAATAAAATGAAGCTTTTTATAAAGTAAAAAAAATCTGAAATAATTTAGGCAAAAGTCTTCATGTCTACGTTCAGCACTAAAATCTTAATTATGGGTGAAACACTTACCACACTGAAGTAATAATATGTGCCTGATTGTAGGAATGGTATCATTACTATAGATATGTGGGTACAAACACCTATTAGCTCTTCAATAGAATTTTTTTGGTGGTACTAAGGTAGGAATTCAGGGCCTCACTCTTGATAGGCACTCTCCACGTGAGCCTCTCTGTCAGCCACCAGTTGTTAAAATATAACAAATACACTTTCTGGATGATGAATAGTCACCATCCCAAACTGGACACAGAATCATCTTCTCCTTCAAACTCTTCATATACCAGTGATGAAGGGGTGACTGACTGGCCCTTCTTGGAACTCAGGCACTCTCTGCAGCCTACAAACATATCCATTGTGATTGGCCACTTTTTTTTTCTCTTTTATTCATATATGCATACACTGTTTGGGTCATTTCTCCTCCTCTACCCCCTTACTTCCAGGCAGAAACTATTTTGCCCTTACTCTAATTTTGTTGTAGAGAGAGTATAAGCAATAATAGGAAGGAACAAGGTTTTTGCTAGATGAGATAAGGATAACTATACAGGGAGTTGACTCACATTGCTTTCCTGTACATATGTGTTACATTCTAAATTAATTCTTCTCAAACTAACCTTTTCTCTAGTTCCTGGTCCCCTTCTCCTATTGATTGGCCACTTTCTAAGCCAAGATAATTATTGATATTTTTTAGATTAGCTAGCCTCTAACTCAAAGAAATTTTAGTTTGATGGGGTATTGAAGACATTGGGAGTGTATGTGACAAATGTAGCGGTAAAGTGGACTAAAATGATAGAATGAGTGAGCTTTCACACTGTGTAAGAATTGATGGATTTCATGGTAAGGCTGAAAAATACATTATAACTACATGTATTTTGTCTTGGAAAACTTGTGATCTTATAATGAACATTAAATGGTACCATTTAGAAAAATCACATTTGAGAAAATTTTTATTGAAAAATAGTTGTTCCATTATGTGGATACATTAATAAATCTTTTCTGCTACCACCACTAAGTACACTGCTATTAAGAAAACACTTGGAAAAAGACAGAAGGTTCTTAATGAATACTGATGGATAAGTTGATGTTTTAGAAGATCCTATCTTGTTGATCCTTTGACAGAAGAAACAGTTCCAATGAAGGAGAAATGCAAGCCTGGAATCCCATCCACAATCCCCAGTGGCCATGTCTGGAAAAACACATGGAATCCCATCTCCTGCAGTTTGGCTCCAGTGGAAATGAAAGACTGCCTCGCAGGAAAACTCATATATCTGCTGGGAGATTCCACAATCCGTCAGTGGATGGAATACTTCAAAGCCAATATCAAAAGTATGTCTAAGTAGAAGCCATTATTGACATCCCCTCAGAAACTTCATTCTCGATTCAGTGGGAGAAAGGACTATGGGAAATACCTCTCCTTTATCATCTTTCTTAATCACAATACATCAATAGTTTTCATAAGACATTATTATCTTTTCTTTTAAAAATATGTTTATGTTAATAGAAGGGAGCCGATGTAAAAAGTGTATATTATTGTGTATATTACTACCTATCCTGGAGAATTCACACATTAAACTTGTGAAGTATACTTAGGTTATTGATGGAGACAAGATTATTTAGGATACTAAACCCTCTCCTTCTGCAGTTGGCACAACAGCTTAGGGTGTGAATTCCAAGTGCAGATATCCTGGGTTCAAAACCTGTCATCACATTGTATCTGGGTGACCTTGAAAAGGTTCCATTGTCATTTTATGCCTCAGTGTCGAATGAGGCACGACCACCCAAGAAAGACTTCAAAGGAGAATCTTTATTTGCCAGCTGACTGCTCTGACCAACAGGTCGCTGGCCCTTAGAGCAGCCCCGTTCTAACTTTAAGCAGGGTTTATAAAAGGCAAAAACCATGTCCTGTTTGACAATCGTTGCGAAGCAAGCTAGCCCAGGTACAGAAGCAAAACAATGGCTGTTGGTTGCCGTTGCGAAGCATAAGTGAACACAATCAACAAAACCGTTTATCCACTTCGGCTCCTTCTGTTTGGGAATCAGATATTTCATAACCCCCTTCAGCTTTAAGCTAAGGAGGCACCTGATTAATGGCTTCTCTACGGACACCTGATTAATGTCTTTCCTCTGGCTAAGTCTTTTAACCATTTCATCCTCAACATTAACTGAAAGTGAAAGTAATACCTACTTAGAAAAATGAGGTAATATCTATGAGGCATTTAGAATATTGTCTGTCACAAACTAAGTTCTCTTTGGTATAAGCCATATTATGTGTTTTCTCTGTCTTTTTTTCCTTATCTGTCAACCAGGATAATAATAGTACCTTCTGATTTTTTAAGATGAAATGAGGTAATGGATTGAGAGTATTTTACAGAATGCAAGACACATACAAAGTGCCCAAAAAGCAAAAGCAATTGCAGTTGCAATCGCTATTATTATCATTTGTTGATGTCACAGTTGGGGCAAGAGTGAGAACCTACTAGTTGTTCTATTTACTAAACCAAGCATCCATCAAAAATGATTCAGAATCCACTAGTAGATCTTAGCAATCTCACCCAGAAAACCATCACTATCTACCCCTCTATGTCTCTGAGCCATGACTCTTATCTTTGAGGAAAATAAAGGTGGTGCAGCTCTATCCTGGACTTCTTAATAAAGTCCACTTTGGTAAAAGAAAGAAAGTTTATCCTCAATTTAAAAAGGCAAATGAATAGGGTCTGCACTCCAAGAAGAATTCCCAACTGAGGGAGAGTTTTAAATTTTGGTCTCTAGTAAATATGAATTCCTCCTGACTTTAGTTTCCACAGCTACAAAATTAGGGATTGGTAATAACCTTTAGCACCACGTGATACACGTGAGTTCTTACGTTATCCAACTACTGGGTTATGGAGTTACTATCCTCTTCAATTCATGTAATAATTCGTGGTAGGAAGATATCCATTGCACATTTCCTTAAAAGTTAAATTCTATGTCCTGAGTTTGTTTTGGAAAAGACAACTGAGTTAGTTGGAAGCACATGAAGAAAACAGCACTGCCATTTTCCTACAACCATCCTATAGCATCAATATTTTACATTCTCACTGGTTCAGATTTCAAACATATCCTTTTACTTACAAGATAATACATGGTACAAAGCACTAATAATCATTAACTGTGTGTTTTCTTCAGCAGTTAAAGCTATGATACAGCTGGCCTTCATATTCTGATAGGAGTTAATTAGCATGAGAAAAATGGAAGGACTTTATCCAATTCTGTGCATGCTATGCTTATTTTCAGAAGTGTCAAGATCAGATAGACAATTTTCATAAGAACTGGGGGAATTTTTAGTGCAAATACTGTCACAAACTGTAGCCACTGCCACCCAGCCTGAACTGGAAATGCAATGTGGTTTTGATTGCATTTTTTATGGCCAGGGATGTTGAACATTTCTTCATGAGTTTTTTTGGCCATTTGAACTTCTTCCTTTGAAAAAGCACCTCTGTTCAGTTCATTTACCCATTTCTTCATGGAGTCATTCATTCTTTGGGATTAGATTTTTCTTTGGGCTCTCTGTAAATTCTGGTTATTAATCTCTTGTCAGATGGATAGCTAGCAAAAACTTTCTCCCATTCTGAGGAGAAAATTGAGTCTAGTCACCATTCCTTTGCTGTGCGGAAGCTTTTTAGTTCCATGCAGTTCCATTTGTCAATCCTTTCTCTTAGTTGCTGAGTCATTAGAGTTTTATTTATGAAGTTAGCTCCTATATGTTCCAGTGAATTCTCTACTCTTTCCTGCACTAGTTTCAAAGAGTTAGGCCTTACATTAAGGTCTTTGACCCACTTTGAATTAATATTTGTGTAAGATGAAAGACATGATTCTAGTTTCAGTCTTCTATATACAGATAGCCAGTTTTCCCAGCACCATTTCTCAAAGAGGCTGTCTTTTCTCCATATGTTTGGACAACTTTGTCAAAAATTAGTTGTCTGTAGCTGCATGGATTTCTATTTGGGTCTTCTATTCTGTTCCATTGGTCTTCATGTCTGTTTCTGTGCTGGTACCATGCTGTTTTAATTACTATGGCTCTGTGGTATTGTTTGTTGTCAGGTATTGTGATACCGCTAGCATTGCTCTTTTGCTCAGTATTCCCTTGGCCATTGGTGGTCTTTTGTGCTTCTACATGAATTTTAGGATTGATTTTTCAATCTGTTACAAATGTCATTGGCATTTTAATGGGGATTGCATTGAACTTATAGACTGCTTTTGATCATATAGTCATTTGCACAATAATAATTCTTTGATTCACAAGCATGGAAGATCTTTTCATCTTCTGATATCTTCTTCAATTTCATTCTTCAGTGGTTTATAATTTGCATTGTAGTTGTCTTTCACTTCCTTTGTTGAGTTTATTCCTAGGTATTTTATTTTTTGAGGGTATTATAACTGGAAAAGTTTTCCTAAATTATTTCTCAGTCTTTTCATTGTTAGTAAGTATAAAAGCTACTGGTTTTGTATATTCATTTTTTTAGCTTTATTCTTTACTAGGATAGATTCATTGTACATGGGGGGGTTCATTGCAAAATTCCAGGTAGGCTTATATTATAAATTGCTTAGATCACCCCCATAGTCTCTCCCCCTTAACCTCTCTATGCCCCACTTAAAGAAATTGCAAGAGGTTTCTTTCTTCTATTTCATGTAAGTATATGAAGTCTATCAACCATACACCCTCACCTTATTCTCCATTCACCTTCTACCCTCCCTCAAGTTACCCCCAAACACAAACATATACATTGTACCTACTTTACAGTCCTGTTTCATTATTAATATTTAAGTTGATGTTCAAAGGGTTTTCACAATGTATCCCTGCTTTAAGTATACTTTACTTTAGTCCATTCACCCCTTCCATTGCTCTCCCTTACCCTTTTATCTCCCACCCCTCATTTTTAAACAGCTTTCAATATACATCCTTATATCCTCTACTTTCACAGATGTTATGTTTTAAATATTGTTGATGTGCTATCATTCTTTTCCTGTCCCTCCTTCCCTGAGTTCCATAGAATAGTTCCACTACTACAAACATTTTCTACATATGAGTTTGTATATGATCATGTTTAGTTTTGTGTATATGTTTATCTTTTGGATCTGTCTTCCACATATGAGAGAAAACATGCAGCTTTTGTCTTTCTGAGCCTACCTTACTTCATTTAATATGATGTTCTTCAATTGCATCCTCACATCTTCAAACCACATGCTGCCATTATTCCTTATGGCTGAGTAAAACTCCATTGTATATGTATACCTCATTTTCTTGATCCATTCATCAGTTAGAGGGCATCTGGATTGTTTCCATAGCTTGGCTATTATGAGTAGTGCTACAATAAACATCAGTATACAGGTGTCTCTATTGTTTCCTGACTTACATTCCTTTTAGTATGTACTCAGGAGCATATCACTGGGTCACATGGCAGTTCTAACTTTTGCTTTATGAGGAATCTTCATACCACTTTCCATAATGGTTGTACTCATTTGCATCCTACCAACAGTGTATAGGGGTTCCTGTTTCACTGCATCCTTGCCAGCATTTGTTGTTTTTATTGTCCTTAAATATCACCATTCTAACTGGGGTGAGATGAAATCTTAGTATAGTTTTGATTTGCCTCTCTTTTATAGCCAGGGAAGTTGAATACTTCTTCATGTATTTACTGGCCATTTGTACCTCCTCCTTTGAGAATTCTCTGTTTAATTCATGTACCCATTTCTTCTTTGGGATATTGATTCTTTTAGGGTTGACTTTTTTGAGTTCCCTATAGATTCTGGATATTAGTCCCTTATCCGATGAATAGCTGCCAAAGATTTTCTCACATTCTGTAGGCAATCTCTTGAGTCTAGTAACTGCTCCTTCTGCTGTGCAGGTTTTTAGTTTGATGTGGTCCCATTTGTTCATTCTTTCTCTTAGATACTGAGCCTTTTGAGTTCTACTTAAGAAGTCACTTCCTATGCCTATCTATTTTAGTTTATTTCCTACTACTTCCTATAGTTGTTCCAAAGTTTCAGGCCTTATATTAAAGTCTTTGATACACTTTGAGTTCATTTTGGTACAGGTTGAGAGACAGGGATCTAGTTTTAGTCTTCTACATATGCACATCCAATTTTCCCAGCAACATTTGTTGAAGATGCTGTCTTTTCTCCATTGTGTGCTTTGGACTCTTGTCAAAGATCAGTTGGCTGTAGCTGTGTGGTTTTATGTCTGGGTCTTCTATTCTAACCCATTGGTCTTTATGTCTGTTTTGTGCCAATACCATGATGTTTTTACTGTTATAGCCCTATAGTATAATTTGAAGTCATGTATTGTG